CCCCACCCCCCCGGCAGTACGAGTAACCATCTCCGAACCCGGGCTCGGAAAGTGCCCTGGATGGCCCTGACGGGTCGATGCCCAACGAGTCGGTCCAGAACACAGACGGAAACCGTGCCGTTTTGCACGTCGGAAACTCCCGCTCTGGAAGCTGGGCGACGTGCAAACGGCGGCGGAGATGTTCCTGGCGACCGGGATTCCTGGGACGACTCTCCCCCTGGGGATGCCAAGGTGCCTCTCCCAGCGGCTCTTCCTGATGCCACCCGTCCAGGCCTAGGCCTCCGGGTCGGGGTCCACCGCTGTCCACCCTACCGTCTGGGAGGCCCCTGCCATCGCCTGCGGGTCCAGAGAAGGCTGGCCTCGGAGGAACGAGTTTGGCAAGGTTCGTTCCGTGGCTCTCCCTTTGGAAACCGCATCCCTGCCGTTGTTCGGCTTTCCCCTTCCACGCGGTCCGTAGAAGGCCGCTGTGGTGCCACCTGGCGCCCGCACTCTGCTCCTCGGGGCGCGTTCGCATTACTGCTCCAATTTCCTTGCTGGGCTCCTGCTAGGTTCCCATGTTCTACGTCTTCCAACTTCCGTCCTGCTCGTGGATAAGGATCCAGGAAGACATCCGTGTCGTCTTCCAGGTCACAGGCCCTTTTCCTGAAGACGGGAGCATTTTCCCAAAGTGTGTGACGGGAGACGCAAAGGGCCGTACACCCGGCTTCAGGAAGCACTGTGGAGAAACCGTCTGTCCACCCACGTCTTCTGCCCTCCACGAAGGGAGCGTGCTCTAAAGCGGGGCTGAGAGTGTAAGGATAGCGTCCTCTTCGGGACTCTGAGAAGCAAGTGTGTGGAGAAGGCACCTTCCCACCAGCCTCTGGATTCCTGCAGATAGAAACGTTTTCAGGGATGGGTGTTCGCGCTGGAGGAGAGTGCCGTGCATTTCACGGGAAGTACCAGCACGGGACACAAACCGTCCTTCAACTTCCCTATAGCTTCTGGACGACAGAAGCATGGCCCTGTGTGCGTGTGCATGAGCGTGAGTGTGTGCGTGCGCGCGCGCGTGGGGCTCGCGTGTGTGTGTGTGAGTGAGAGAGAGAGAGAGAGAGAGAGAGCGAGAGAGAGGGAGAAACCGAAGGAAAGCCCTATCGACGGACCTCTGAGCACCGTGTGTGCAGAGAATGCACCTTCGAACTCCTCTGAAGTTTCCTGAAGCTAGGCGCGTTCTCGAAAGTGTGCGTGAAAGGAGGATTCAAGGGTCCCGCCCTTAGCTCTGAGGAACCAGCCTGTGGCCAGTGCATTTCCAGCGGCCATCCTGTGTCGGGAAGACAGCCCCGTGCACGCAGGTCTGCGTCTACGCCGCAGGAAAGCGACCTCGGGCGGATCCTGAGATCCATAGGGCAGGGCTGAGCAACTGTCCCTGGACCACCAGGCTGCTGGAGGAAGGAAGCCCTGCCAAAGACTAAAAGCGTAAGGCCAGGGTCAGCTTCTTCCCTCTGAGAAACAAGTCCGTGGAGGAAGCATCTTTCACGGAAGCGCTTCCTGCTGAAGATACTTGCATTTGGAACGGAATGTGCACGTTGAGAGGCGCCATCGCCTCAGCCCTGAGAAACAGCCAGGGGCCGAGCGATCCGGTCTTTGCGCTCCCCTCTTCATTTCTGAGGACGGGAGCGCTTTTGGAAGGCCGGGTGAGAGCCTAAGAAAGGGCCATGGACTTGACTCGGAGAAAGCAGTCGCAGTACATGGGCTGCATGGTTCCCCTCCCGTCGTGCTTCACGGAGGTACAGGCCGTTCCGAGCGAGGTGGGGACGAGGCCCAGGGGAACGGCCTCGGTCGCCAGTCTAGAGCACAGCACTGTGGAGAACCGGAATGACAACGGAGCTCCACTCAACCTCAACCCCGAGCGTCACGCGAATGCTAGGGCGCCCTCCCCTCGGGCCTCGGAGGACGTCTCCACGCTGGCGTCGCATAGACTCCTCCCCGCTCCTGGGGCGTAGCCCTGCAACTCTCTGCGTCTCTGGCACGTCCCGGGGCCGAACTCTGGTTCTGAGGGTGCAAAGGACTTGGTGCTCCTGAGCGAAGCTACCCACGTTCAGTCAGGAACAGAGAGGGAAAGTTGCCCCTTGGACCCGCAGGGGTTGCTGGACCTCTGGACTCGAGCCCCAAACACGAAACTCAGCAACGCTGTGATGTTCCCAGACCCGCGCCCCCACCAGAGCCACAAAGGCCCTAATGCGAGATCTGGCCCTCAGGCGAGCGGCAGCCCTGCACTCCGCCTTCGGGTAGGACTCTGGGTGGCCAATGTGTGGGCCACAAAGTCCTGCAGGCCTCTCGCCCGAGCCCTGGCCTCAGGTGACCCCGCGGGGGACCGGGCCCTGGTTGCGAGTCTCCAGTGGACTTTGGACAGCCGGTCTACGCCAGGCTGTCCCGGCAAGAACGAAGGTTTTGGAAAGCCCCGGGGATCCTGCCGGAAGACCAGGACTCCG